GGAGGGGGGCGTGTCGGAGGGGGCGGGCTGAACGCTCCAGAGTCCCGCAGCCCCTAAAAAGTGAAGAACCGCACGCTTCCAGCCCCAGCTCCGGACGGGACTCCCACACTGCCGCCGCTTGCTGCAAAACCTCTGCGCCTCTTTTCCACAACTTCGCACTACTTGTCACATCTGTGCAATAAAAGAAAAGAAGAGAGAGAGAGAGAGAGAGAAAAAAGGTCTGAGGCAGCAAAGTGTGGCTGCATGGCTACATGAGAACTTTCATGGACTTGGATGTTTTAGCGACGCTTTATTGGAGCTCCTCGCCTCTGTAGTTACTGTGGATTACTGACACACCGCAAGAGCCTTGGCAGCGTTTTACTGGGGTAAGATTGTGTTTGGCAGGGTGCATGTCAGTCCTCTGCGGGAAAAGGAAGCAGCCTCACTTTTTTTCCCAACTTTTTTTTTAACCTAATGAGAAAAAAAATGTTTGCTGTTTTACAAACATATTAAAGTTTGGAGACAAGAGAGAAAAATACGCACAAATCTAGATTGTTGCTTCTGATGGCRACTAATGTGCTCACGGCTGGACATTATTCTCTGTCCATGGATATCAACTGTTTTTTTTTAAAGACACCACAGCTCATGAGCTTTTAACACCATCTGCCCTAAAAAGGATGTAAAAAAAAAAAAGACTCTCGGGGTTTTCTGCAAAAATAAAGTCCAAAGGTGCGCAAGAACCAGCTGAAGGAAAGCTGCTCTAATGAACAACAAGTGCCCCCCGCCGCTGATTTATGCTGCACCTGCACGAAATTATATTTAACTCCATCGCATGTGACAGGGGAAAGCAAAGTCCAGTGGTTCCAACAAAACCAGCGGAACCAGTGACCGGCTGGTCCTCCTGCGCCTTTTCCCCCAAAAGCCCGCTCCGCGTGTGCGTAAAGCTTTGATCTCCTTTATCAGGAGCTGCAGGAGTCCCCTCATTTTACCACTTATAATAATGTTTATCTACCAGACACAAATAAGAAAAAAAAAAACAACACAATTATTTCAGTTTTTCTTATGATTATTTATCTGAGGGTCATCTGGAGTCTCAGCTTCAACTTTCAAAACATAAATCGTAAAAAGCCGCAAAAACGGAACCAGACCAGTTCCCGTCAGCTCACCTCCTCTGTCCCACACAAACCAGACAAGTTGCTTTTATTACAACCAAACATCGTTGGCTGAAACGTTGGCCTGTAAAGACTCAGACTGGGAGTTAAGATTAAACAAAACGAGTTAAATTGTGCTCAAAGCGAAACATCGATTTGAATCGAATTAACTTTTTATCAAAAACAAATAAAAACACACTTCTTGTTATTATTTTGACAGAATCTGTGTTTTAGTTCATGCTTTAACTCCGAAGTGTATTAGTTAAAAACAAAACGTGACACTTTCTTTCAATCAGACAGACCCGTCTGATTCGGTGCGTCATATTTAAATGTTACCATCATGCGGTGTTAATCTGCGCCATGTGAGCCCTCCTTACGCCCACCTAATGGAATTATAATTTCGATGACTAATTTGTTAAATGAAATCACTTTGAGGGCGCATCCGTTTAACGACCCACACTTTGATTTAAAAATATTTGTGTAGATGGTCTTTTAATTCAAACCTGGTTTTACGCACAACTATTACAGATTCTTCACTTTACTGACAGAAACACTGTCAAAACAAAAAGAATATAT